CCCTTAAAATGATACATTCTCTCAGTTTAAACTTTTGATCTGTGATTTGTGTTCTATTCTGAATAAAATATTAGATGTTGGCACCTCCACATCATTGCATTCAGTTTTTATTCACAATTTGTTTAGTGTCCCAACTTTTTTGGAATCCGGTTTGTAAGATTTTGAATTCTTTTCTGGATTTGACAGGGAGCCAATGGAGAGAAGCTAAAACTGGAGAAATATGATCTCTTCCACTAACTCCAGTTAAGACTCTGGCAGCAGCATTTTGGATCAACTGAAGACGTTTTAAAGAAGTATTTGGACACCCAGATAATAAACCATTGCAATAGTCCAGTCTAGACATGACAAATGCATCGACCAGTTTTTCTGCATCATTTTTAGAAAAGATGATTTTAATTTTAGCGATATTACGCAGGTGGAAGAAGGCGGTTCTAGTAACGTTTTTAATGTGGGGGATAAAAGACATGTCCTGATCAAAAATAAACACCAAGATTTTTGACATTAGAAAAAACACATCTTTTCCTATGGGTAGATGACCTAAATTGTGTTTTGATGAAAACAAATGTGACCAAAATATGTCATGCAAGTGTTTATGAGAAAGTACATTTGCATATACTAGCAATTTATGCAATTTTTTTAACTTTCTTGTACTGCCAACATCCAATGTCGATCATTGATGACTCCCATAATGACATCATAATTCTGAGGTAGTATCTGTATGAAAGAAGACACATAGCAATGGAAAACAGAGTACCAGGTTATTTTTCCTACCATAACAGTAAATGAAAACAGGAATACAAAATAGAAGTTGTTTTATAAAGTATCCAGCTACATAAATTTTTTTTTTTGAAAAAGTAATCCTTTTAACATTTAACACTATCCCAATACATACCTTCATTCTTGGCATTTTTCCACTCCACATCGCTGTCATTGCAAATGTGTCAATGAATGCAGCGCTGCGTGATATTGCCCTGTTACAGCTTTGAATCAAAACTGCCATGTAGGCATTTATGCACTGAAGAATTTGGACACACACATTATTTTTATTTATTTTTTTGATACATATGTCAACATTTTCTTGCATAATTGGTGGCTTACAATGCTACCAATGTACTATTATTAACATACCTCACTTTCTAGCTGCTTGTTGGGGCTTATTTGAAGAATATCCCAGTAAAAAGCGTATATGCCCCTATTTTTGACAGTAGGATATGGGCATCATTGCCTGCCCAAGCATCTTTGACATCTGAAAGACATAAGAT